ATGTGACCCTGAGTTCAGACCCCAGTACTGCCAAAAAAATGACTTCAAAAAAGATAATCATCTGAATGAATTAAGGAAGACAATATAGGATAGGAAAAAACATATCAATACAGAGATATAGATTCTGAAAAAGAACCAAACAGAACTCTTGGAAGTGAAAAGGTTATAAGTCAAATTAAAAAACCAGTTGAAAACCTCACCAATAGACTAGATCAAGAAAAAGAAAGTATATCAGGGCTTGAAGTCAAGGTTGATGAATTGTCACATTCAGACAATAATAAAACACAAAATATAAGAAATTATGAACAGAATACACAGACCAATGGGACATGATTAAGTGCACAAATGTACAATTAATAGATTTAGACAAAGGATCCAAGGTATAGGCTAATGTCATAGAATACATATTCAGTTAAGTTCCCAAATCTTGGGACAGATATGGACATCCAGGTATAGGAGGCATTTAGAACCCAAAATAAACCTGAACAAAAAAAAAATCTCCACATCTTATTATAGTTAAAATGTCAAAAGTACAAAACAAAGAAAGAATATTGAAAACTGCAAGAGTATTGCCAAGTCATATATAAAGGCAAACCCAGCAGAATAACAGATTTCTCAGCAGAAACTCTAAAGGCCAGAAGGACACTGAATAATTTATCTCAAGAAACCATCAATATGCTGTGTAAAGAAATAGGAAATACACAAAAATCACTTGTAGTGCATACTAAAATACAATGATGATCTTGAGAGCAAGTACTGCTGTGATTATAAACTGAAAACTGCCACAATTTTTACTAGAGGAAAGAGCTGAAAAGGACTCTTGAGATACTTTTTCAAAATATGAATAAAGTGAGTCAGTTACGTCAGTGAAAACCACTGATAGTTTATATTGCCAACAACAAAAGCCAAGTTTTCATATAAAAAACTAAAACTTTTGGAAAACTTATACCTGCTTCTGTATCTTTAGATTCCCAGGACTGAAAGACATAATAATATCAGTGTTAGTATCAACAAATAGTTTTATTATATTGTATAATATATTTCAGCATTTGGAAAATTGATATAATTTAGAGAACCAGTATTTTCCAAGACACAGTACATTAGGGTATAAAATAATGTGTATAAATGATATACTCCAAGTGCAAGAGAGAACAATGGTGGATAAAGGTGGGAAAGGAGAATCTTTTCACAAATGGCTGAAAGAAATGTCATTTAATTTAGAAAAAAGAAAATAATGATTAAGTGGGCTGACACAAAGGTTAAAAGAGAAAATTAAGAAGTATCACAGTGAAATGAGTCAAATTATCATCTAGAAATGTAGCCCAAGGATGTTACCAGAGGTTTGGGGATCACTGTTGGGTGGATGGAGGTGGGGGTATGAAGAAAGTTGGGAAAGAGGTAATAGAATATAATCACAACAAAACTGACAATGAAAAACTAGTTGGAATTCTGTATAGAGACTGTGCTAGTAGAGGGTAGATAGAGAATATATAACCACAGCAATTTCTATTTGCTTCACGGTCATAACTTTATGCTGCTGAGAGCTTTCATTCTCCTTCAAATTCCAGGAAATAGCTCTTTCCCTACTTTTATAAATAAATAAATTAAAGTTTGGCTAATTAGTGGCAGAACTGTGATTCACCTCCAGATGTAGTTAACTGTATTCCATCAATCAGGACAGCCTAAGAAGACACAGATATACAAAGAAGCACCAGTAATCTAGAAGTGAACACTGCAAAGATGTCAAGATGGAAAAGGACTGAGGAAAGTGTTCTTATATTTAGTGGACTGGGAAACTTTCCAGTTAAAAAAAAAAAAAGTAGAGAAGCCAGACTACACTATAAACATTAAGATAATAATGTTTAATAAGCATTAAAATAATAAACAGAGGCATCAAGTATTGAATACTCTTACAAGAAATCCAGCTACAAAAGAAAAATGGTATCAGAAAGAGATCTGTTTTACTTCAGCTCAAATAGAATCTTTCTCCCACAAATCAAACACTGAAGAGTACATCCCTTCTGTAGAGAGCAATGGAACAAATAGGCGAAGATCTGTCAACCACAATGGTACTGCAGAGAAAGAATCTCCGTAAAGTGTAGCAGAGTTTAGATGGGTATCATTTCTTCTCTGAGTGGCCATTTTGGATTCAAAGAAATGGATTTCTTAGGGTTTATTTGTATTTTACTTTCACAACACATTTTTCATTATGCAGCCAGTGGGAAAAATACAATTCACTTTCAGTGTTTTAAAAATCACTTTTCTGGAACATATCTACTTAACTGACAATTTAATAACAAGCTCTCAGTAAGATGACATATGTTTATATGTGCAATGATAAAATGAATTTTTCTTTATTTTAGCAATTAAACTTTCATCATTTAAAAGAATGATGTTTATTTCTCTAGGTGCTCATAATATTTTAATATGAATTTACCTTGTGCTAAGAAATTTTATATTAAGGTATGAGGTTTCAATCATGGGATCCCTCTCATTGAATTTAAACATAAGAAAATCCTCAGACTAGAAAAAAAATCTGTTTAATGTCTCAAAAATACCAGAAGCCTTTATCACAGTCAGAAAAAATTATATTTCAGTAAAATTTACAACAGGGAATGGGAGCAGTGCATAGTTTACAGTACATTTCATAGTTTTAAATACTGCTAGGAAAAGCATTTGAGCCATTTAAGACACCAGAGCATGACTTTTAATGATAAGCTACATGATAGGCAGTTTTCAAATATCAATGTCGTATTGTGTTTTAAACTTTTAGTTCTTTTTCTTTCATGGTTGTATATCTGTTTGCATAAGAAAATGAGACACACAAGAAATTCTGGCTAGTGACACAAAGCAGAACTGGGTAGCTACACTTTGTTATCTTTTATTAAACTGTAGTTGGCACAAGGATAGCCCATGAGCCAATCTTGCTAACAAACATCTGTTTCTTCCCACCCATGTCTGGAGTTTTGGGATAAAGCAAACCATTCTATATAATTTCTTCTTGGTTGACAGAGAATTCAAACAACTAAATTTGAATTCTTCATGGGGTCCTCATCTTTCTTTAAATTTCTGGCTCTGGTTACTTTTTAAAGATACAGCTCTTTAGAAAAGCAAAGTTTGTTGATCCTTGAAGAGTCCTGCATTGAGCAATAAAAATTGATTTATGCTCTGTGATAGCATCATAAGATTATATCACTGAAATATAATATAAATCAGCCTTATTATCAAAATCCTTTGTGCATTCCTACTTTTCTTGATTCACAATATGAATTACTTCTTGTTTCAACCTACTTATGAATAAGGAACTCTAAGGTAAACACACTTGTTAGTAATGCACACCTAGGATTGTGGAAAGGAAAGGTAGGCATGAAAGAAAGGAGGGAGAAAGGAAAGAAGGAAAGAAGAAAGGAAGGAAGAATGGAGAAAAGGGAGGGAGAAAGAAAGAAAGGAACTAGTTAGATGTCAGAATGACCTAATAGCAACTCTATTTCTACTCCAAAACAGTACATAGAATGTCTACTGTTGGTTATATGGAATTAGCATAATTTTATAAATAAAGAGAATATTCTCTGGCATCAGAATACTTGCATTAAAATTCCAGTTCTACACCTTATCAGATGTATTGTTCCTTGAGCAACTTACTTAATTTTTGTTTATTTCTGTATCTGAAAAATGGAAGACATAATGGTTCCTATCACATTATTACTACAATGATTAAATAAAATAATATACATAAACATTTATAAGTCCTCAAAAAATGTTTTTCATTATTATGCTCCTTAAAGCTGTCATCTATAGTCATGAAATACACTAAAAGCCACGACTGTGTTTTCATATTGTAACACTGTAACTTTTTTTCCTCCAAGGTCATGCGTTCTTCTACTTCCAAAGTTTTGTTCTATTTCAACCTGATAGCTTGATTTTTGTACCCATAAGCAAATAAGAATTTGGACTATGAATATCAAGTGCCAAAATGTAGTAATATTTACTAGATACCAAAGAGCAGATTATAAGAAAGAAATGCTATCATTAAAATAGAGAAATAGGGCTTGGAGGTTTGGCTCAAATGATTGAGCCTGCCTAGCAAGTGCAACATGAGTTTAAACCCTGGTACTGCCAAAAAAAAAATAATAATAATAGAGAAATAAAATCCAAGTTTACAGAAGTAAATTCTACCTACTAATCAGATATATCCATAAATTTTTCCATATTTAAGTTATTGAACATATTTTTTAAAGTAAAAAGATGCTTTTCTTTTCTAATATCAAAACATTAGTTCTGTGGTTCTTTTTTAATCAAAAGAAAAAGACACTTAAAACTTAAATTCCACCACAGCCAAATTCTTCTAATAACAAAGATAAACCTCACTGTGCAAAAAATGAGAAAAATTAGGTATATGATCTTCTGATAAGAAAAGGGGTGACACTCATGTGACTGGACAATTAGCGGGCCACTGTAAGGGTAAGGAGCCAGGTCAGCCTACCTGCCTGTTCAATGACTTTTCAGTACAATAGTTCATTCATTAATTCAAAACCAATAAAAGCACTTTCATCCATTATGGAGGAGGGAAAGGAGAGTAGGGGTGGAACAGAATTAAGGGGAGATGGTCTAAACGGATTTTGAAAGTTCTAGATTAATTAAGAAACTGAAAGTACACCTATAATTCCAGAGTTTAGGGGACAAAAACAGGAGGATTACAAGTTTGAGACCTGCATTGGTTACACAGCAAAAAAGAAAAAGAAAGAAGAAACAAAAAGAATTGTTCTTTGTAAGGAAGGACTCTCCTAGAGTTCCCAAGTTGAGGCTGAGAAAAGTGGTCATTGCAGAGCTCCAAGAACAGTGAGTACTTATTCCCCCCCTATTCTTTCACAGTTCACAAATGTATTCAACACTTTTACCTAGATTCCATGCTAGCTAGGTTGGCCCACAGTTCAATGCAGGCTTAAGCAAGCTTCCCCTTAGAGCCTGGGTCATTGTCCTGGAGGAAGAGGAAGGCTTACCCATACTCATCTTGATGGGCAGGTTCTCTCTGCTTGCTGCTTCCACTAGATGTCTCTGAACCTCCATAGCTGCCTCTTTGTGCCTGGTGTTCAGTAAAGCTTCCCACAGGGCTTTGGCTGAGGTGTCACTGCAGCAGAGACACAAACAGTTTTAGAATAAGTTTCTACTGGGAAATGGAAAGCATTGAAAGCAAAACAAAACCTTAAATATCTTTTTTTGAACATTAATATGGTCTTTCCTGTTGGTAAACCGAAGTATTAGGACTCAGCAAATAATATCTAATTCATTTACTTGACACAAAATATTGAGAAATTAAGGGAACAATAAAATCAAGACAAAATGGAAGAAAAGACATATTGTATAACAAGTATGAGAAAACTATATGCTTATTTTTTAAAAGATTTTAAACATACTTCAGGGTGCAATTCATTGTCAGAGTAATATAAATGTATGTAAGCCAAAGTTAAATGTATGGCTAAAATGATTTATCAGTATTTATACGCAGCATATCAACTTGAGACAACATATTTGTCTAAGAAACACAGAGCAATCAGCAACGAGAAGTTCTATTCAAAAATTACTCAATAGATTTCCTACTTAGTAGGATTCCTATTGAATGAAAATCAAGACTTGAACTGAGTAGACACAGCCTGAAGTATTCCACTTTGGGCCTCAGGTTGGAAGGACAGCACTTACGGAAGCTTTCACAATGGACCGTTGAGAGCCACCCGAAGCATGGCATTACGCAGAGCCTCATCTGGGCTCACTTCCCCAATAGCTCTCTGTCTCACCCAACACACCATGTCTACATTATAAATGAGTGTGCTGTTCTCGCTGGAAGATCTCTGCCATGCAGCCAAGTATACACATTTGTAGTAACGTTTTCAAAACTGAATATAAAGAAACAAGGACAACTTCTGTCCCTTTCTAAGGACTTCTTCCTCTACTTAAAGTCCCACTAATTCCTTTATTATCCTGCTAGCAAAAATTTGAAAAAGAATGCATTTTTAAAATTCAGTTGTAAAAGTTATACCTATTAAGATATTAATTTGCCTATAAAGTTAGACCTAACAGGATACATCTTTCAAGTGTGGATTTGATCAGGAATAATGAAATATTGTATTTTAGCACCAAGTTAATGTCAGGCACACAATAATATTTCAACAGTAGTTATTTTTTATTATCATCTGTTTTTTCCAGAGTGAGCTAACATTTCTGTTCAACATATTCTATTTATTTTAATGTGACCAAAGCTTTCATCATTATAATTTTTGTAATGGTTAATCTTGGTTGTCAACTTGACTGAAGTGAGAGACACCTAGAAAATTTGTAAAGCACACTTCTGGTGTGTCTATGAGGTTATTTCCACAGATTATTCACATGTGGTCAGAGAACTGAGTGTGGAAGACATGCCCTGAATGTGGGTGATATCATCCAATAGGTGGATGGTACAGAAAGCAGAAAAGGGGGGGAAGCCAATAGAAATGTACAGGCTCAATTCTTCTTGAGCATGTACTTTTTTTTCTGCCTCCATCACCCACAGACATTAGACACCAGATTCTTCAGCCTTTGAATATAGACTCACAGTAGCAACTCTCCAGAGAGATTCTAGGCCTTCACCCTAGAATGAAAATGAAGACTTACACTAAGTAACCATGGCCTGAAATATTCCACTTTGGGCCTTAGTTTGGAAGGATGGCACTTACAGAAGCCTTTACTTATATTAATTGTTGGTAGTGATGGCAGCTACATCAATGATCCTTCTTGTTCTGAGGCTTCCAGCTTCTTGGACTGAGCAGCTACTGGTTACCCTGTTCTGTACCTTGCAGACAACCATTGTGGGACTATCTAGCCTCTGACTGTGTAAGCCAATCTAATATATTCCCCCTTTATGACTGCATATACAATCTATTGGTTCTGCTTCTCTAGAGGATCCTAAACCAAGTCTGCATCTGTGGTCCTTAAGTTTTATTTAAGTGAGCAGGTAAACTGCATACTAAGTTCTATATTTGGTTGGGATATAGATAAAAACAAACTTCCAATGACTTATAATCTAGAAGAAGAGGCAGACACATAAGCAAAGAAATTATAAAAAAGAAAAAAGGTAAGAGATGAAGATGATAAGAGTTGTGATCGGAGTTTGCATAGACTTTTATGCAAATATAATCCTGTCTGTGAGGACAGAAACTGAGGGAACAATTTCTACTAGAAATAGTGAGCAAGTACAAAGAAACATAAGTTCTAAAAGCAGCCAAGGGAAGAAGTTATAAGTCAGTCTATGAAGGAGAATGGCAAAAAAAAAAAAACCTTGAAGGAAAATACAAAATCTTAGTCATAAAACAAGAGAAAGGAGGTTATTTCAGAAATGTGCACTGTCCTAGGTATATAACTGAGGGCTGTTTTGCTCCATGCTAACCTGCAAGGGGAGGGGCCGTAGACATAAGGACAAAGAGAAGGTAGGAGATACAATATGAGGCCCCTGTGTTCTTGTCAAGTCTGGCAGGCTTCAATCTGTAAGTGACAGAATGCCAAGGGGTTTGTAATTGATTTCATACTCTGAGAAGAGCAACATGTAACTCAGCAGTCATAAGCACAGTCTTTATCATAATCCAAAAGTAAGTCTATTGCTATGGGGTTTTCAGAAAGATATCTAATTTCTTTAAAGTTTGGCAAGCAATGGGGAATCACTAATGAGTTCTAAGCAGGGAAGTTACACTCCCAGTTTCCCAAACTAATGGTCCACAATCATTCCCTACTCTTATTCCCAAAAGTGCCTCTCCCCAGATCACACAGATTTCTCAGATAGTTTCAACATTGAACCTCTGGAGTAAAACACTGCTACCTTCCTCCTTTCCGTGAGAATATGTATCTCACAATACAGTATGTGTCAAGATCACAGTGGGCTGGATAATGTTGTCATTGCCCTTTATATTAGTGTAGCGACTAATGTGTGCTCTGCAGTCAGAGTAAGCTGTGTTTGAACTCAACTATCTCCCTGCCACCCACTCCAAACACATGGTCTCCTCTATCATCCTCCCGTAAGGACCTTTTTCTCTCACTTGCTAGGAACATTCTTCCTATAAAATCAATCAGTTTCTCTCTCTCCCTCCCTTCCTCCCCCTCTTTCTCTTTCTCTCTCTCTCTCTCTCTCTCTCTCTCTCTCTCTCTCTC